TGAGTAGGGTTTCAGGACTACCAGATAATCAGTTATATCATATGACTTTAATAAGAACTTAGCTTTGATGTAGTCCACGTGCCACCCTCCCTCGTTTGGAGTGAAAATGGACTTAGACTTCTTTCATCATATTACTAATAGTCTTCTTAACTTAGTGTTACCTTGAAAACATTTGCAAGGATTAGCTACAACTCTGATAAAGCCTATCCTATATTTGAAGAAATCCGAGCTCGTTTTCATCCAGACTTTGAAGGGATTCTCCGGGATTGCGTCATCCAGAAGGTCGTGCTAAAGCCAAAAGACTACAGAACAACGGAAATCGGCTGCCGTCTTCCGGTAAGACTCCATCATGTATTTCAATAAAAAATAAAAGTCTACACAACAATGTTATCTTATGTTAATAATCGAAATCTAGCTGCTATTCGTATCTGCCTATATATATTTTTTAAATTCGCGTTTGCTTCTCAAGTTTGCATTTTCAGGTGTACCATGAAACATGATAATTTAAGCATAGAACGATAAAAAAGATATTCGCTTTATGATGATCATGCGATTTAAAATAGATATTTTCATGCTTAATAAAATTATTTTTTGTAGATTTGGAAACCAAGAAGACAGTTTTTTGTAGTAACCTTTAGTTGAATAGTGTTGGTTTGACCTCATTCTCGCAACTGATTAGGAGAAACAGGGAGACCTTTTAGAACGAGTCTATTCTTGCGTCCTCTGCCATAGTATTCGTGATTTCCAGAATCGGTATATTCATATACGCTTTGCTGGCCTTGTCATTGAGGGGCGCCATTGCTAGCCCAGAGTTACAATTCCTCACTTTATTAAGTTACTTTGCTAATCGAAGGTGTGAAGACCAAGATGGTGTGGTCTTTAGTGTAATCGCAGTCTCCTTTCGTTGTATAGAGGTTATTTGACCTTGTTTTTGCAACATGGTCATATTGGTAAGAAGACTTAGAGGAACGCACCTAGTCCGGAGTCCTTTATCTGCATGATCATTTCTAAAGTTGAACCGTGGACTTGGTACATTCCCAAACATTCCACCGGCATCGTAGTCGGCATTGTCAGTGAGTATCGCCATTCTTAGCACCATACAACAACTCGTCAAAGAGACAAGTGCGTTCCTCTAAGTCTTACTTTGCTAAGTTGTAACTCTTTGCTGAAGCCCTCTAAAAACTAGCCCAAAACTCTCAATAGGAAAACAGAATTTTATCCAATGTTCGCACCTAGTTTGCTTGTATAGGCATCGTTACGCTATCTTTGTTGCCAAAGTTCTACTTCAGATTTATCCTCTACTCTATGACAATCACCCGATCTGAGTTGTGGTGGCCTGTTTGGTGCTTACATGTCTGCAATATTGTGTTAGGACTGGGCTCCAAAGTAAAACTCAATAAATGCTGATAATTTTGGCGGCCACCACCTATCTCTCGCATAAGAAGGGTATCCCGAGTTACGATTGAGTTGCCTAGATTACCAATGTCCAGCAAACTGGAGACCAGAGTAGAGTCGTCATCGCCGGCCACGGCCAACGCCTCACCCGCAATCATACACTTCTCTTTCTCCTCCTCCGCTTCAGTCTCTAACTGTACATCACGCGACCCTGCTGGCGAGAAGACAGATCAGCCGCATTCCTCTTTAAAGCTGCATATTTTGCAAAATTGCCCTAAACCCACAGGGATGACAACCGTGTTGGCTGATATCAGCTTGACTGCCAGCTGGGTCGAGCCGACGGCATAGTAAGTACGACTAATCGGCACTATTTGGTGCTATAGATGACGGCCGCGGCTAAGGCTACTATCGCTCAGTCTCTATGGCACTAATAATACGACAAGACAGAAGCCCCCCTCAGGACCTAGAAATAATATACCCCAACTCACCGCCACACAACTTTATGGCAGTCACCAAGCATCCACTTGCACGTCCTCGAAATGGAGGCCTGCGTTCAGACACCTTCTTTCTCCTCCTACTCTCTCTTTGCAGTCATTTTTTCCCTGTGGAAGGAAAATATTTTCATTGCACCGGACCAATTTCCTAAAGCAACTTATCCTGTCAATGGGTCCTCAAAAAGGCTGTCCACTTTGTTGTCTGCCTCTGTTTCTCACTCCCCTCTTCCTCTTCACCTAGATCACCTGATTCCCCATTTGATTCAATCTCTTCTTTCCTCCTGTTCTTGCTCTGCCGATTCTTCTTCTTCCGCATAAATGCTGACCACCCCCAGTTGCTCTATTCCTCAATTCTGGGTCGGAGGGTATCCCATTCCCGTAGATTGTAGCGCCAGATTGGCGTTTCTGCAGTGTCCAGTGGTTGTCCACGAAACAATTGTCTATTGTTCCTTCGCCGGTGCCGTGGTCGGCCCAGTGAGTTGGCGGCAGTCGTACGTCTAGTCGGAGTCGTCTAGTTAGGCGGTTTGAGCTGGTGCTTGCAAATGAATCTTGCCCGCCACCACCATAACTTCGGATTCAGACATGTCTCCCTGGAGTAGCCCCGGGGGTCGACTCTCATTGGTAGCTGCCTCTTTGGTGTCCTCGACCTTTGCCTCGGTTTCGGTCCCGGTCTCGGTCCTGTCACCTGGCTATGCGCTGACGCCTTCCTTCGGCGTCGGTTCTCTTCTCGATGTCTGCGGGCGTGTAAACCGATACCCAGTACGTTATGAACCCATGCTCAACCCAGAAACCTGAAGGCGCATCATCGCATACATTCGGGCGAGCTACTTTATACCAATCAAGCCTGCCGAAAGATATCACTAATTTCGAAAACTGTTATTTTTACACTTATCGAATCTATTATTAGTATTTCTATAACAAATAATAGCCAATATTACATAAAAATTGTATCTTATGACCTTTTAATTTAAATTTTAAAAATATTTGTGTCTTTTTATTTGTTTGACTTTTTTATTTCGTTGAACTTTTGAGTACCGCCTTCTTCCTGCATTTTCGTCCCTACTTCTCCATCTCTTCTTTTGGACTTCGAACTATAAAATTATATTTTACCAGACTACTTTCGAATACACGCATTAACTTTAAAATTTTATTTAATGCTATTTTTAAATACAATTAAAAGATGACTATGTCTAATTCCGAAGCCTCCGATGATTACTCTTCCAGACATTCTACAC